ATGCAATGGAGTTTTCAATAGAATCAATGAACTAAACAACGCAGGAGGCAATTCAGCCCATCAAACCACTGGTAGCTCTTTGAAAGTGCTATCCAAATAATTCCACTCATCATAGCCCCAAAAATTTATCACCCTACGTGAATTTATCCAATTTGCTTTTGGAAGTCCTTACTGAATCTGTTTCCATCACACTTTCAGGCAGTATATTCCAGACCATTATAATTGCAGTTGTAAAGCAAAACCTCTCCCTTCTGGTTCTTTTTGGCAACCAGCCCTAACATATGCATTCCACACATATATAATGGAAAAACATACAGAAATCTAACAACTAATATCGTCAGCAGTGTTGTCCAGTGGAAAACTGTTTCTGTATAAATTTTCAGTCACTTGAAAGAGATGGCATATCTGGCTGGCATTAGGCCCTGGGGACTAGGGTGCAACTGCCACAAACCAGAAAATCAACATTCCTGCCTAACTCATAGATCTGATCATTATGGAAAGATTGGAACAAAAAGGTAAATCTTATATCCAAAAAAGACACCCTCTCAATACAACCACCAGATCATGGATCACAATTTCCACACTTGCCCTCCTGTGTTGCACTCTGTCAACTTGAGGTCATTTGAAATTCTGCAGTCCAGGTCCTTAATTGCGCCGTCCCATTTGCCTAGTATCCATGAAGTTGCTGACCTTTGTTCTACTACTGCTTAATCAAATACTACTTGCTCTTGGTGACAGTTTGGAAGGGCAGAGCAAAGGTCAGACAGTTCCGTTGGCCCAACTACCGCTCTGCATCCTGAAACCGTTCTCTTCCTGTTACTAGACAGAAGCCCGAAACCTTACCAAAAGGAGAGTGTCAGGCAGTCCTGCATTTCCTTGCACTGCACTGTGGCACACCATTTTAAAGCATTCACAAAAAGAATGCAGTCTCCTGTAACATTGACGTAATACGCAGAACGTACCTTGCAGAAATAGAATCCCTACAGTGTGGAAACAGGCCCAACAGCCTAACAAGTCCAGACTGACCCTCACGGCATTCCACCCAGACGCATCACCCATAACCCACCTAATCTACACATTCCTAAACAAAATGGACAAGTTAGTATGGCTAATCCACCTAGCCTGCACATCTTTGGACTGAAACAGGCTGTTTGACTAATCTAGACCAAACTGGTATTTCAAAACCATTCAAGTTTTGACAGATATTAAAGATAGAGGAAACCATGGCATTATTGGAGTTAAGTTCTTAGTCGTACGTAAACTTCCGAGAACAGCATGACACGAGAAGCGGCTTTTCGGACCATCATCTCTGCTCCTGCCCTCTTGAACAGTAGTCCAGTTAGTTGCACTCTTATTTTGCCATGCATTTCTCTAATTATTTTCTCCTTCAAGTATTTGTCCAATTCCCCTATGGAGGCTTCTCCTTCCTAGGAAAGGGCAGTCCTTCCGGATTGAGGATGTCAGCAGCATTTGTCACTCAACCTTAGTCCTGTAGAACCGAATGGCTCTCTCGATCATTTCAGAGGATAGCTACAGGTCAACCACATTCCTGTTGGTCTGCAGCCATACGTAGCCAGACCAGGTTAGGATAGCAGATTTAATTCCCTTAAGGATGTCAGTGAATGAGGGTGGGCTTTTACAACAATTGGTGAAAGTTCTATGATCACCATCCCTCACTGTAGCTTTCAAGTACAGACGTACTAACTGAATTTAAATTTCACCAGCCACCATGGTGGGATTTGAAACAAAAACAAAGTTGCTGGAAAAGCTGAGGAGGTCTGGCAGCATCTGTGAAGAAAAAAATCAGTATTAACATTTTGGGTCTGGTGACCCCTGAGGAAGGGTCACCGGATCTGAAATGTTAACTCTGATCTTTTTCTTCACAGATGCTACCAGACCTGCTGAGCTTTTCCAGCAACTTTGTTTCTGTTCCTGATTTACAGCATCCGCAGTTCTTTCAGTTTTTTATGGTGGAATTTGAATCTCGTGTCCCCAGACCAGCAGCCTGGTCTTCTGTATGCCACACCACTGGCTCCCCAATATGACAGGCTTCAATTACAATAGACACAGCTAAGGCAACTTGTGAGATGGAATGGAGTACAAAGTGTTGACTGGAACAAAGGAATCAATAAGTACACAAGTGTGTTGCAGCCAAGATGACAGTTGTTTCCAAAAACCAAACACAAATAACAACAGCACCCATTCGGTCAACACTAACAACCTGCAACACAATAGGGTGAGGAATAAATCTGAAAGACAAAAGACTTGCATTTATATACCACCTTTTATGACAAGATGTTTAAATACTGTTGTAATGTAGAAAACGCAGCAGCCAATTTGCAGACAGCAAGCTCCAACAACCAGCAAAACAATAATGATCAAAGAGTTTACTTTTATGGTATGAGTGAAGGACAAATATTGACCTAGGCTCCGGGGAGAACTCCTGTGCTCTTCTTCAAGATTAGCTTCATTGCACTTTTTTCTGCCTAACAGAGGGCAGTCGGACCCGTGGTTTAAAATCTCATCCAGATGATGGCAACTCCGACATTGCACCGTCCCTTCAGTACCACTATGGAGAGTCAGCCTTGATTTTTGTGCGCAGATTCTAGAGTGGGACTTGAACCCACAATCATCCAATTGAAGAGGTGCAACAGCTACCTAATAGGCCATAGATGATGGATCTGGAGACTATTTGTACGATAACAATGGAGAAGCATGGTTCTTGTGGTGCAGTGGTAGTACTGCTACCTCTGGACCAGAAGCACCCAGGTTCAAGTCCCACCTGCTCCATAGGTGTGTAATAACATTTAAATCAACCTGTACAGAGATAAGTGAAAATAACTGAGAAAACAGTAGTTAAGACGATATCATTAATTATCCTGTTTGACCAAACACTCCGTCTCAAAAGAAGTTTTCATGCTGCACACCTGAAATTATGTTCTGACCATTGATGCTGGTTTGCACCACTTGTAATAACCCAGCTCCAATTTTCTTACAGGATTGACCGGTCCACCTGAAGCGATTTTGGCTGGGCAGTGATCTCGAAGAAATTTTAAATTCTTGTCAATAACATCCGCAAGTTCCCCTCCAAACCACATGCCAATCCTTCATTGTTACTGGTTTAAACTCCTAGATGCTTCTTCCTAATAGAAACTGTCTGGGTGCACCTACACCACCACCATCCTCTCAAAGGCAATTAGGAATGGGCAATAAATGCCAAATAAACCAATAAACAGAAACATTCAATTCCAGGCCACGTTCCAGATTCTTACTCCAGTGGCATTTGGCAGGACTTACTGCATTGCCAGATGGAACATTCTGGCCATGGGAGGCTGAAACAGTGAGAAGCCCTCCCTGACGCTCTGGTATAGGGTGATGGAGGGGAAATTTTAAACAGAGAGGGTGTGGTGTGTGTAGACACTCATGGCTACTCAGCAGCATTGGCCTGGTGAGGAGACCTTCTCCAGGAAGGAGAATTGGAACTAGATAGAATCAAGATCTCAGACATGATGCAATAATTGGGAGGAAGCTGGAGATTAAGCTGATGAACTAACAAAGAAATTACAGAATTTGCAATTGATATTAAATGTCTAAATGGGTTCCAAGCTATCAGATGACTCAAAAGAGTGCAAGGCTTGAACTGAGGGGACATTGCTTTAAATTGAGGGGTGATAGATATAGGACAGATGTCAGAGGTAGGTTCTTTACTCAGAGAGTAGTAAGGGCGTGGAATGCTCTGCCTGCAAAAATAGTAGACTTGCCCACTTTAAGGGCATTTAAATGGTCATTGGATAAACATATGGATGATAATGGAATAGTTTAGGTTAGATGGGCTTCAGATTGGTTTCACAGGTCGGCGCAACATCGAGGGCCGAAGGGCCTGTACTGCGCTGTAATGTTCTATGTTCTATGTTCTATGATTCCTTAGGTTCACAGAGAACCAGTCCCTGTGATTGAAGTATGCCACTGCTAGCGAGTCATACAGCACAGAAACAGATCCTTCAGCCCAACTCATCCATGCCGACCGGGTTTCCTAAGCTGAACTAGTCCCATTTGCCTGTGATTGGCCCATATATCTCTAAACCTTTCCTATCTGTGTACAAGTCCAAATGTCTTGGAAATGCTGTAACTGTACTCGCCTCTACATTTCCTTTGGCTGCTCGTTCCGTATACGGACCACCCTCTGTGTGAAAATGTTGTCCCCGAGGTCCCTTTTAAATCTTTCTCCTCTCACCTTAAAGCTATGCAGTCTCGTTTTGGACTCCCCTACCCTGGGGAAAAGACCTTGGCTATTCGCCTTATCTATGCCCTCCTGATTTTATAAACCTCTATAAGATCATCCCTCAGCTTCCTACTCTCCAGGGTGAAAAAGTCCCAGCCTATCCAGCCTCTCCTTATAGCTCAAACCCTCCAGTCTCTGTAACATCCTTGTAAAGCTTTTTCTGCACCCTTTCTAGTTTAATAACATCTTTCCTACAGCAGGGTGACCGGAATTGTATGCAGTATTCCAAATGTGGCTTTACCAGTGTCTTGCACAGCTGTAACATGGTGTCTAAACTCCTGAGAATACATGAATCACACTATGAGTTCACAATGTTATTTTAATTGATTGTTAGTGTCACTGCAGGCAGTGTGAAAATCACTCACCAAGTTGATACACAAAAAAAAAGTGCTTTCCACAATCTCTAGTGTAGAAACATACATTTCCTTTGCTTCTGGGTAACATTGTTCCGGGCCGAATGTCCCCCAAACTCTACCTAGGGTCATCACAAAAAAAAACAGCCACTTGCTGAAGCCTGAATGAGGTGCACCTCATCTGGGCTTTACCACATCAATCACCACTTTCAGGAAAATAGAGTTTAGAGGAAGAGTGAAATAACGAATGGAAGTTCACAAAATGTAAACACATCAAGGCTGTGCTGCCAAATGCATTTAGAAATATGTTTGCCATTGCAGTAAATGTTTAAATTCAACTTGGCAGAAGAACGTGATGATCATACCTTTTGTTCTTTCCTCTCCCGAGCTGCGTGACATTTCTCAAGACCACAGGAGCGCAGAAAGTCTCTTAGATAGCCAAACAAGGTTACAATCCCATAGCCCATGTAAGTGAGGACAGGAACATACATTGGAGGCTGCTCAAAAGATTCCGAAAAAGTCTTCTTACTGTGTTCTGTCTTGGGCTTGCCATTTTGCTGTGGAAAAAGAACAGTTGTTAGTGCTGGTTTAGAACTCCATGCATTCATAGACTGCGTCATGAGGCATCAGCTACAGGGCTGTGCTGACTAGCTCAACAAACATATAAGAGACTCCTCATTTCTGTCTGCTCAATGTTTTAACTTACTGTGAAATCATGGGCAAGGTTACACACTTTTAAGAACACTAAATCATTCTGGTCTCAATATTCTGAACAGTATTGCAGCAGATGCAATAAAGATTTATTCGATGACACCAGAACTGACAGGCCACACTGATCAGGAAAGATTGAACAGATGGCAGCAGCTCAATTTTTATTTAAAAAGGGCTAATAGTGACAAAATTGAGGTCTTTAAGATTACAAGGACATGTGATATGGTAAGGAGAGACGTGTTTCTGCTTGTTGAGGAAGATCACCCTTAAGAATGAAGGTCACAAGTAAGTCTGACTGGGAATTCAGGAAAGAACTCTTTAATCAGAGAATGGCGAGAATGTGGAACTCGCCACCGCCCAGCATGGTTGACGCCAACAGCGCAGATACATTTAAAGAGAAGTTCAATAAATACAAGGGAGAAGTAGGACAATGTGTGTGTAGGGTAAGATTTTTGGAGGGAGGGGTGGTGGCAGGAAGGAGGAGGAGGTTTGTGTGAAACAAATATAGGTGTGGAGTAGATGGGCTGAATGTCCTCTTTCTGGTCAGTCTTGTATTTTGTAGCACGGGAGGGAGAAAAGCATCCAGGTGTTTCTCATTTCTCTCCACCCTTTTTTACTTTTCATAGACAATGTTAAATGGTTGTCATAGAATAGATCATAGAATCCCTACAGTGTGGAAACAGGCCCTTTGGATCAACAAGTCCACACCAACCCTCAGAGCATCCCACCCAGATCCATTCCCCTATAAGCCACCTAATCTACACATCCCTGGACATTATGAGAAATTTAGCATAGCCAATTCACCTAGCTTGCACATCTTTGGATTGTGGGAGGAAACCGGAACACCCGGGGGAAACCCATGCAGATATGGGAGAATGTGCAAACTCCACACAGACAGTCGTCCGAGGGTGGAATCGAACCTGGGTTCCTGGTGCTGTGAGGCAGAAGTGCTAACCACTGAGTCACCGTGTGTAAAGTTCTCCTAGACTTGCCTCTGCTGTGCCAATCTGGATCCAAGCCAGTTAATGAGACAGGAACTAAGGCCCCAGCCTGCATGGATAGAGGTTATTAACTACAAAGTCTTAAAGCTCCCAGCTCCACCTCTTCTCCCACTGTTACAGGTGTTCCCAATATAAAATGTGCTCAGACAATTAATAGATACTACCTGTTTCTTCTTAATCTTAAATTAAGACATTAACAAACTGAACAGTATGATTTTGCCAGATAGTAATATGCTTCTTCTCTACGATCCACTTGGTAAGTATGAGAATCCAAGTGAAAATTATCAAAAGGAGTATAGTGGTAGTGTTCTTACCTCTGGCCTATAAGGTCTAATTTCAAATCCCCGGCTTTGGATGTGCATCATAAATTATGGGAGTCTAATAGTGATAACGTCACTAGACCAGTGATCCTGGTCACAGCTTCCAATCTCACAATAACCACTGGTAGTATTTGGGAGGTATCATGGCACAGTGGTAGTGCCCCTACACCTGGGCCAGAGATCTGGGTTCAAGTCCTACCAGCCCTGCAGGTTCCTACAACATGTCCCATTGAAGATTCCCGCTCCAAAATTCCTTCCTTTTAGCTGATTTCCATCAAAGTTCCTCCGGCTGGACAACCTTCTGAGATACGATCCCCTCTATTTTTAGCCTCTTGAGAACACAAATTTTAATTGCTTTGCCAGTAGCAGCCATGTCTTCAGGTGCTAAAGCCCAAGCTCATCTGGAATTCCCTCCCTCATTCTCTGACTCTCTACTAACCCTGTTGACCTCTCTTTTTTAAAATCCACCTTTTTGGCCAAGTTTTTGGTTGGCTTTCCAAGGAAGCTTTTATGCGTTTCATCACCAATGTTTATACATTAAAGGTCCTGTGAAGCAGCCTGGGATATTTTACTACATTGGAGGTGCTATATAAAAGTTGCTGTGTTCCCTCCAACTCCACTTTGAATTAAACTCCTCCCTTTCTTCCTCTCACTTCTGTTGTTGTGCTGCCTCTGATGGGCTTTGCATATAATTTGATTGTTTAGTTAGAGTGAGAGAGAGACACATAGACAAAGACATGGTGATTTGATGATGATGGAGGGAGAAGGGGAGAAAAGTAATGTGGGTGATTTGGTGGTGGAAAAAGAGTTCAGTGGTGTGTAAAAACATCAGGGTTTTAAAAAAAAAAAACTTGTTGCTGTTGTTCCACTGGCGATTAGTGTACTCACCTATGACCTTTGTGGGTTCTACCTCCCAGGTCTCAGCCTCCAAATCTATTTCCAAATTTCATTACTCAACAATTATTCTTCCTAACAGAAACTGCTGGAAGAGCTCAGCAGGTCTGACGACAGCTGTGGTCAGAAATCAGAGTTAGTGTTTTGGGTTCCAGAGTTAGCTTTCCTCAGAACAGATCCTTAACTCTCATTTCTCTCCAGAGATGCTGACAGACCTGCTGAGCTTTTCCAGCAATTTCTGTTTTTGTTTCTGATATCCAGCATCTGCAGTTCTTTCAGTTTCCATTTAGTACTTAACTCACTGTCACATCTCTTCCAGGCATGGCCACCTTGAAGAGGTTCTGCTCCTCTCTCCAACAGGATTTCAATTCTGATCTTTTTTCTTGTCCACCCTCATTAATTTTGCTGTCGCTCCTGGTGTTTGACAAGGTATTTGCTAAAACTCATTTCCACAGCCACATTGCATTCCTCAGTGACTGCCTCTGGCTCAGCCTCACCCCACGTGGATTCCAACACAACTTTCATTCTTCTCGTTTTGAATCTACCCAGGATCATAGGTATCTCTGATGTTCAACGTTCCACAGACAGCTGTTCTCGTTGCATCCCAAGATCCATACTTAAGTGTCATGCACCGTCATATGCACACTCTCTCCAAAGAACCGCTTCACGCTGACTCAGAGCTGTACTACTCCCTGGTTCCACCTCATACTCCGGTTCATTCAACGTGCTAACAAGAAACTTTTTCTTTTCCTTTCGGGCATCAAGGAACACAAGATGCAACAACTCAGAAACCCACGACGCTCTGGAACCTTCCTCCCCCAACTTCACTCTCCCTACCCCACCTCCTGTCATGTATTTACTGTCCCTCCTGACCTTCCGCTCTGCAATGCTGAACATCCAGTTCTGAGGATGGGTCACTTGATCTGAAATGTTAATGCTGATTTCTCTCCACTGATGCTGCCAGACCTGCTGAGCTTTTCCAGCAATTTCTTTTCTTGTTTGATTTCCAGCATCTGCAGTTCTTTCAGTTTTTACTTATTCTCCCTAATTTGCAGATCACAGAATGATATAGCAGAGGGGGTGGCCGTTCAACTTATTGTACCAGTGCCTGCTGCTCCATTCTCCCATTTGGTACAACTTGCTAGGCAGCCTCCTAAACTATGCTGGAAGTTTTGATTTAACTGGACAGCTTTCATACCTCTGCGGTGAGACAGTGTGCTGCTCAGAATGTTTGATATTTATTTTTAGAAAACTGTCGAGTTCTCTGCAGTGGTACAAGTCAAAATCCGGTGCTGATCTAAAAATATATACCAGCAGAATAATACTGTCCTTCTGTCCACTTCTAATTGCCCCCGACATGCCTTTGTTTCCCCAAAGCCCTTCAGGTGGTGTCTATTAATTGTCTGAGCACGTTATATGTAGGGAACACGTGTAACACTGTGGGAGGAGAGAGGAGATGCAACACTGTCCTTTAACCTTGTCCCTGTTCAAGGTCCTGATACCCTACAATCAGGTGAAACAGAGATTGATTCATAGTTTTTAATTTCATAAAGTATTCACTATTAATGGCCCAGGTGGGCATATCAATTCAAACCCCATCGTGGCAGCTGCAGGAATTTAAATTCAATTCATAAAATATTGAATAAAAAGCTGGTCTCGGTGATGGTAACCATGAAACCATCGTTGGTGTTGTAAAAACCCATCCAGTTCACTTGTGCAAAGAGGAAATCTATCATCCTTACCCAATTGCTGTGGATCTGGAATCACATAGGACAATGCGGTTGACAAATTTTACTGCGTCCTGAAATAGCCGAGCAGCCCATTCAATTCTAGAGCATTTTAGAGCTGGCTGACAAATGCCAGCCTTGTCAGCAATGCCAGATTCCGTGAAATCACAAAGAAATGGTGGGTTATTGCTTTGCGAAACACCTCTGCTCAATCCTCAAGTGTGACCTTGAACATTTGGTCACTTTGTCATTTTAACCGCCCATCCCCACTCTGACCTTTGTCTCTCTACCCCACCATTGTTCCAATGAAGCTCAAGGGATGATACCTCACCTTTTGGCTACGCACCTTACAACATCCCAGCTAAACAGAGCTCAACAATTTCAGATCATGATCTGTGCTCCCACATTGTTCTAACGGTAGCTAATGGTGATGATGCTGTGGTTGCCATTCACACCACCTCCAGACCCGCATTTTCCTTGTTTACTTGTCCAATGATCATCTCTGTTAGCTTTGATCAATCAACCCATTTGCCATTTATCTCTCTACATTTCCAGATCTTCACCTTTGTTCCGTGCCCACCCCTTTTTACTGCAACTGCTACAAATCTGTCCCAAACCCAACTTACCCCAATTCTGATGAAAGGTCATTGACCTTTCAATGCTATCTCTGTTTCTCTCCACAAGTGCTGCCAGATTTGCTGGGTTTCTCCAGCATTTTCTAGTTTTATTTCAGATTTCCAGTCTGTCGTTTGAGAAAAAGCATAATCACCATGGAGAAGTAGCAAGCTGACAGGAAGGCTTTGGGAAAATTTTAAAGTCGCAGCATTAAGAATGAATTAATAATTGAATGAAGAGGGTAATTGTTAGAAAAGTTGAAATGCACAATCCAACTCAATTTTCTGAAAAGAGTCAAATGAAAATGCCCATTTGAATTCTGAAAGCACACTGCTTCTGAGTGAGCCCCATTATATTGATCTCAATACATACTTAAAAAGAAAAGATTTGTATTTATATCAGAGATAGTAGGAACTGCAGATGCTGGAGAATCCGAGACAACAAGGTGCAGGGCTGGATGAACACAGCAGGCCAAGCAGCAT